AAATTCGACAATAATTAATTGGAATTGTAAGTTATGATTGTGTTTTATACTTCTATAGTCACAAATTTCGCCAAGAATACACTATAAAAAATATTAACAAAGACAAACAATATTTAATCTATTCTCAATTTGACAACAGACGTCAAGAACAAAAGTTTGACAATAAATAGTATGCATGCGTGTGTGCGTCAAATACATGGTATATAGTTTGTGTAATGTTTTCTTTATTGATTTAGTGTATCTTTTATGCATTATTTTAAAAAAAACATAGCATTGTACACTTCTTCTCTAAATTCTCTATAAGTGTGGAAAATTTCATACTCCTCCGTCCGCGCAATTTTCGTAAAAAGGGATACAAAGTTTTTGCTTCACGTATTAATATAAAGTTAAGTAAATTAACCTATAGACACAGCCCACTGAGTTTCTCGCCGGATCTTCTAAGTGGGTCGCCTTTCCGATCCGGCGGTAGATTCTGCGAAGCTCTTGCTAGGGCCAATGTTAGCAACACCCCCGGTTTAATCCCCGAGAGCTCACCTACACGCTAGGGTAACGCTGATATAGCTTCTCAAGGCTATCAGCATAAGGATGAGACAAAAAACATACGGACCGTCGGTCTACCGAGCAATATGACCCGGAAGATCTTTCCCTTTGTCTTTACGCATTCCACAACGTCATGAGATGAAAAGGGCTTGTTTATTGAGCTATCAGGAAATTTAAAGCTATCTAGCTAATTCGTTTTTTATATTTCAATTTCAAAATTTCATACTATTTTAAAAGTATTTGTTTTATTACATGAAACAAAAAAAAAATAAAAAAAAAAATAAAAAAAGTAGCCTATGTTCATCAGGGACAATGTCGGCTTCTAATCAAATCAAACAAACAAATCTTTCCTCTTTATAATATTAGTATAGATATAGATATAGAAGTTGAAATCAATAATTATAATGAAATAGCTTAAGGATTTAATTAATATGCATTGTGTTCACTTTCATAATGAGCTATGAACCGGAAGAGAGAGTGGTTTTTCCTATTTATTACACAAGTGAATGAATGATCTCACGATTTACCCGTTGTTCAGTAGTTAATAGAGCCCGTGGATATTATATAAACGCACCACATTGAGGCGTGAGGTCGAATTTATAATTATATTGTATAGGTATGTGGAGAGTACTTAGCGGCAGAGTCTTGACTCTTTAATCTTGTCGAGTCTTAACGTGTCTTGACTGTGCCCCTAACATTGCTAATGTCCATGAGTGACGCCTTGTGCTCATCTGCCCCTAAAGGTAATGAAAAAAGCCTTTCAAATCGAAACGCATGTTTGCTTGGCCGCGAAAATAGTTGAGATGTTGATACCTTCTGTATAGTAGTTACATACAAACTGTTATCGCTTCCTTCCAGACACATTTTTACTTCACTTCTACATTGGGATTTAATGATAGTTCGTTGATATTTGAAAGTTTTGAAACGATTTCTTAGACAGCAATATTTTCTAAGAAATTATTGTTATCGATTTAATGTCTTTTCTCTCACATTTTTGTCTTTGTTACGATTTTTTGGTTACTGAAATGAAAGATCGACTTGTGGTAGTTATATATTTTAATACTAGGACTAGAAGATACAATTGTGTTAATATGATACGAATTCCAATGAGCAGTAAGTAGCAGCTTCATTTTCTACTAATATTTATTACTACAAAACATCGATAGATGTCGCTATTTTAAAAATCTCCACAACACAATTTATTCAAGCTTACAGAGAATGCCTAAGGCCCTAAACACGTCCTTACGCATCGATCAGATCCAATAACTCTTACATTAGACGCCTTCAGCTCTAACACTAGGAGAAGGCTCAGGAACCCCGGTAGCCGTACTCGTCGAACTCGACAAAGAGTTCGACGTGCAACCTAACCCATGCATCAGTCCGCTGAGTCCTTAGATCTTCTCAGCGGGTCGCGATTCCGATTCGGTAATAGATTCATTCGCGAAGCAGCTGCTCTCGAGTTAGGTCTCCTTCGGTGGCGCTTGGGCTGTTAGCAAATCCCACCCCTCCTGGCAGAGGCTTTGGTCGCCCAGCTGTCCTGGTGAAACTGGAAAGGCCTATAAAACTCGCACTAAGCACACTGGTCTTAAAAGTAAGCAGATTCTCTTCGGAGCATTTTTATGAATGCCTTTATTCCAGTCTAGATAAAATTTATTTAAATTGACTAGAGTTACATCACAAATAAACAAATAGCTTTAAAATTCAACAGTTAATACAAAAGATAATTTAACGGAAGCTGAGAATTTTTGGCGAAAGCAAATAACACATCGTAGACACAATCGTACAAAGCATCTTACTTCGATTACAATTCTAAAGGTGTGGATATTAAAAAATGTTGATTTAACGATTACAAATATAAGCGAAACTTTTAACGCATTAAAATATAATTTTATGTGAACGCTGATCATACCGATATCTACTGAATTAGTTTTGTCTGAGACATATTGTTATTACCTACTCTTGTTCTAAAACTGAAGGTATGATATTATTTCATAGACAATGAACCTTAAAACTACTTCTAAACACATGTTTATATATTTTTTCACGAATACCCATGATGTTATGATAATAATAATAATGGTTTGATTTCTGGCTTTTACTGTTTCTGAACTTTTTTTTTTTTTATTGCTTAGATGGGTGAACAAGCTCACAGCCCACCTGATGTTAAGTGATTACTGGAGCCCATAGACATCTAGAACGTAAATGCGCCACCCACCTTTAGATATAAGTTCTAAGGTCTCAAGTATAGTTACAACGGCTGCCCCACCCATCAAACCGAAATGTATTACTGCTTCACTGCAGAAATAGGTAGGGTGGTGGTACCCACCCGCGCGGACTCACAAGAGGTCCTACCACCAGTAATTACGCAAGTTATAATTTTGCGAGTTTGATTTTTATTACACGATGTTATTCCTTCACCGTGGAAGTAATTCGAGAAAAATTGGTACCCGCCTGCGGGACTCGAACACCGGTGCATCGCTTCAACACGAATGCACCGGACGTCTTATCCTTTAGGCCACGACGACTTCTGAAAATCTGACTTTTGAAAAGCAGTTTTCTCGATTACGTTAAAGCTTTTTGTCCTGCAAGTATTCTGAAGGTGCTATGATCTGTGTCTTGTGTGTCAGTAATTTACCATGTTACCTTTTTAGAATTGATTGAGATTAAGCCATACCTAATTTGCTCTTATTTTATATCTACGATTCGTGATCACTTTCCAAAAACAAACACTCTCATTATTCTCAGCCAATGATGATTGTATGTGATCTAACGTACAACGCTAAAACATATTTAATGTGAGAATTTTGTCAATAAATTATTTAATTAATCGTCTTCCGTGTCAGGAACCAGGTTTGCATCGGTTCGGCTTTCCCCTTCATGGTCACGTGACCGCGGTACGTCAGCTCGAACTGGTCATCGTGGTTGTCATCGCGCATGAGATAGCTGAAAGAGTAATTGAAGTCTTTAAGCACTGAACAGCCTTCGAGGAAATCGTTCGGATGGAAGAGGTATTTGCAATTAAAATCGCGGTGTACAGAAACAATAACGCTTGAAGTGGACAAGCCGTTGTTCTTTTGGCTGATGACCCTGAGCGAGCGTGACCAATGATCATCAGGCGGGCGTTTGCAATGTTTGAGGGCTTAAGTTGATCCCCGAAAAAAAAATCCTTTAATAAAGGCTTTGTTACAATAAAATATATCGATATTATTTAATAATTCGTTAAAGCCTCATAAGGCCAAACAACAAAATAACACATAGCATAATTGGTTCTCCGAAAAGGCGAAGATGATGTTGGCGCGAAATTACACCTTTAGACATTTATACTATTTTTATGCGGCGGGTCCACTAAATTAATCAATCTTCACGCAACAATATTTTTATAACAATTCTTCTTTCTCCTGTCCTTCTCCCAGTCACCTGGGGTCGGCGCAACATGTTTTCTCCTTCCATACTCCTCTATTATATACCATTTCTTCGCTCACTCTCCTCTTACACATATCGTTTTTCACGCAAACCATCCATTTCTTCTTAGGTCCACCGCTTCCTCTATATCCTTCCACATTCGTAGTTAACACTATCTTACCAACCTCATTTTCATTTGGTCTCATCACACGTCCATACCATTCCAAACGCGCACTTCTCAGCTTCTCTGTCACAGGTGCCACTTTCAGACTTCGTATAAAACTAATATTCTAATTTTTATAATTTTTATAACAATCAATCACTTTATTTTTGTAACAATGAACGTCTTTCATACGATTGGCAGATCAAACTTAAAGATCATCTTTAAAACGAACTAGATATTATTATGTATATTGACAATTTGTAAATTGAATTATTAGGATAGGCGATATTAATTGATAAGCAACAGGCATTGCAACGTGCAGCATCGATAAACCTCCCACAAGATGGACCACCGATTTGGTGAAGGTAATTATGGCAAACCTTGATATGACAAGCAGTCTCCTTCAATTAATAATCAAAAAGCCAAAAAACCATCTGTTTGTTTTTTAAATACCAAGCAACCAGTTCGTTATTTCACAATAAATCGAATACAATGCCTTTGGAAACATAAATGTGGACATCTTGTATGGTTTCATTAGTCTACAACAGACATAAGTAGATTATCGGACACTTCAATGGATTCTAAAAGAAAACACTGGGTTGTTTTATTGTATTTCCATCATTCACCCTTGAGGTTTTGCATTGAACGTATCATTCGTATATTAATATTTGCAAAAAGGTTTTCAATTCATTAGTAAAAAATTGGATAGGACCTCATTATTTAATGTTTTAATTACGTATACAAAAAGAGAAAATACCTGGCAGACATTCGTGAAAGTTTCAAATTCATAATGAAGTTACTGATCTAAAGTTTGGGATCATTAAAATTTAATGTTTCACGAAAGTATGTTTTTTTTAAATGGACAACGAAAATTATAAATCTGCTGAAAATCAAAATGGACGCATTCATGGAATTGTATTTTGAAGAGGTTTTCGAAAATTTAGATCGTGATGCTTTGATCAGTAGAATCAAAAGGAAGGAACTTGTTGAATATTTCAATACTGTTATCGACGGCTGTGCTAAAGGTTGTACTTATATATATTTTTTCTAAACACCAGAGACTTCTCAGTAGATAAGCATTTCGTGTTTTTCTATTAAATAGAGAAATCACTAACAAGGGATTTGTATTTTTTTATTGAATACGTAAAGTGAATCAAGTCGTTTTGAAGTACAAAATACTGATCTTAAGTAAAATAATAATTAAGGATAAAATACTTATCAAAACGATCTTCACTTTAGTTTAATGTGTTACATTTTATATTGATTTCCTCGGTAGCTTGCTTACTGATTTTATTTTTACCACAAAGACCCAGATAGTATGGGTTTCCATAGCCGGGATTGAGTATCGTTGCAAAGAAATTTATCATTTGGGCGCCAGGGTAATTGTTATGTTCAATCTCATTTTATTATGTGTCTGGTAACTTTTTTTTTCCTAAGATGGGTGAACGAGCTCACGGCCTTACTGGCGTTAAGTGTTCCCCAAAGCTCATAGATATCAACAACGTAAATGCCGCTACCCACCTTAAGTCTCAATTTTTACAATACAACGGCTGCCCCAGATATCAAACCGAAACGCACTACTGCTTCATGACTGGAATACATATATCGTGGTGGTACATATCCTTTGGGCTCACAAGATGGAAGGGTTTCCAGTAAAGTAGCATCCATATTACCAGAAAAAATAGTTTGAAGCTGTTTAATATCATTGCACATAATTAACATTATTAAAATCTAAGTTGCATTCAATTAATAAAAACCACAACCTCCGTTTTATTGTTTTGCAAAATTTTCAGGACAAAACAAGTCAGACGATGTAACATGTAAAAAGTTTGTTCTGTCAGCGATAAAGTACCACAACGATCGGAAATCTGACAACGGTGATGTATGTCTTATGGGAAAATATCACAATCTTCTGTATATAGCTATAAAATTGGCCTTTGATTGGGGCCTGAAAGACAATGGGACTGTAGCCGCTCTATTGGACGAATTGTACGCATGTGAACGTACATTCGAGAGGATATTTTTAGGTAGGTTTTCTTTAGTCTTAAATAAATAAATTTTTTTTTGGAGCCCATTGACATCTACAACGTAAATACGCCACCCATCTTGAGATATAAGTTCTAAGATCTCAATATAGTTACAACGGCTATCCCACCCTTCAAATCGAAACGCATTGCTGCTTCACGGCAGAAATAGGCAGGGCGGTGGTATCTACCCAAGCGGACTCACAAGAGGTCCTACCACCAGTAAACAAGAGGTCCTACCACCAGTTATGTACATATTTCCATCACAAACTACACAAATCATGTTTAGGCACTTATACTTAGGCACTTTGGTTTTTGTAAATTCGTCGTAATTTTGTCGTCAAAATCGTTATTAGTTATTGTAAATAGTTATTTTGATATTTGTTCATTCCAGGAGCAATTTTTGGCACCTCAGCACCGTATTTTTTGGCTGGATGGAAATCGGATTTCTCGAACAGGGAAGAAAACATTCACGCTTTAGTTTTCTTCTTAGATCATGCAACGAACGCCTGTTTGGAATACACAGAAGATAATAAAAAGTATCGCTTCATAGACGTTCCTTTAGAAAGCTGCGGAAGAGCTTCTCCAGTCAGAGTCGTCATTCAAATGGGAGCTTCGGAAATACTGCTGATACTACTAAGGTTCGGCGCTAAGATAACTGCAGATAAAGTATCAACAAATCCAATAGAATCTATATTAGATAAGCTATTGGAATATAACAGAAAATATCCATACGAATTGATTTCATGTTTGAAAATAGCTCTCAGAGCCACTGAGAGGATAACATTCACGATTAATGAAAACGCTTCTGAATACCTTGAGTTACCTGAAGGGTATAATTTTCAAAGGAAACTGGCACTCGAAAAGTATGGAGAAATTTTAGAGGACCATTTGATTCCGACCACGAGGTGTGGTTTAAAACCGGTCGAATTGAAGCACATCTGCAGATGCAAAGTGAGAGAGACATTGTGGCGCAATTTCGAATTGCCGTTCGGTATCGAAAAATTACCCGTCCCGGATTCGTTGAAGAAGTATTTAGATTTATTGGATGATTAAATTTTGAATGCATGTAGCTGCGTTGATGAACCCTCCACTACTTTTTGTTTTAAAGCAAAGGAGTTAAAAATCAACACAATCCTAATAATATTATGATAGAGTAATTGAACTGCCTGTTTGAACTAAAAACACAATAAACATAAAAAATAATTGAAATTCTTTTTTTTTAAACACATCTTAAGCAGACGAAAGTAATATCGAAAATCTAAAAACAATCCTCATCATTAATCGAAAGACGACTACTGCTATTGCTGGGTGCAGACTTTCCCAATGCTCTCCATAAGGGTCAATTCTGCATAGTTTACATTAATTCTTAGAAAACTAAGCCCTTAACTGAAATCTTACTGAACTCAAAACCAGGTAGTTGGTGGTAGGACCTGTTGTGAGTTCGCATGGGTAGGTACCACCACCCCGCCTATTTCTGCCGTGAAGCAGTATTGCGTTTCGGTTTGAAGGGTGGGGCAGCCGTTGCAACTATACTGAGACCTTAGAACTTATATCTCAAGGTTAGTGGCGCATTTACGTTGTAGATGTCCATGGGCTCCAGTAACCACTTAACACCAGGTGGGCTGTGAGCTCGTCCACCCATCTAAGCAATAAAAAAAAGAAGGTAGACCCGAGTAAACAGACAACAACAAAATCTTTACTTGTATGTATCCTCGCTGACATTAATAGTCCCGGGAACGCCAGTAGTTTCGCAGCGGCTGGTCAGGTTCACCGTGTTGCCGAAGAGGCAATAGCGAGGCATACGATGACCGATCACACCTGTCACGACCTCCCCGGAGTGAATGCCTATAGTGATACCCTGGAAGGTAAAACAACACTGAGACGTAAGATTTAAGACTCAACTACTATATTTTTCGACAACGGCTGCCCCGTCGAATCGATTTTACTGTCTTCAATTAATTGGTAAAATTTTATTAAATTTTATACTTAATAATAAATAATAAAATTTACAAAACTAGGGCGAGATTAAATCATAAAAGTAATTTTAGTTATATAAGACGACTTGCAGAAATCGATGAAAATGCTACATCTATTATTTAATTAAATTAAAATAAATCCAACCTGGGGTGCATGGTATCAGTAGTTATAAATATTTTATGATCAGATATGAGTAGAAGGGTTATTTTGATAATATCCTGAAAAGCACCCCCGCTTTTTTACAATAAAATAATTTTTTCTTACACTATTTTTAATTAAAATTTATTAAAATTTATTTTATATTTTTTAGTTGGATTTTCTATAAAAGCGTTTTTTTTAGTTTTTTAGATTATTATTTATTTTTCATTTTTTAATTAAATTTCTATTTTTTCAATATATTTTTTTTATAAATATTGAATTGTCATCGCTCCTTAATAAGTATACCAAATTTCGAGTTAATCCGACGTTTAGAAGGGGGACAAATTCATGTTCAAAGATTCCATTACATACATCTGAACCTAATAAAATCGTATTCAAAAAAAAACAACCGAAGTCCTCGAACATACCACAGGCTCTCCATCAACGGTCACGGTTTGGGACAGATCCATCATGTCCAGAGCCAGAAGAGAAATGTGTTTCGCGTGGGCCACTTCGTACTCCGGCAGACCAGACACCGCCATGTACTTATCCCCTACTGTCTCCACCTATGCATTTTAAAAATGATTTACAAATTGGAATAAAAACCTCTAAATTAACTAAAAAAACCGGAACTATTATATTTATTTATTTATTTAACTTCATGCACACAAGTACAATGTGGACTTAATGCCTGAGGCATTCTCTACCAGTCAACCAAGGGTGGTGTAGAGAATCCCGTGGTAAAAAAAAAAGGTGCATTACTTAAAGTGAAAATAACCAAACTGATAATAATATTTTATACAAATCTTCTATTCTTTTTCATAAACTTGAAAATTGGTAGACAGATTATTTATCCAAACATTTGAACTTCTATTATGCTGTTCCTTCTTAGTAAGTTGTGGATAAATGAGCATAATAATCTATTATTACGACCTATCCAGTTAACTGATATACCTTATTTTCGTTGACTAAGTGCTTAGAGATCAACGTTGACTAAATGCTTAGAGACTAAATGCTTACCTTGTAAACGTTGGGATTTCTCTTCGGATCCGTGAGAACATCGAAGGCTGTGTACAGGTCATTCAGCATCCTCACAATTTTCATAGCTCCCTTATGGTCAGAGTTCCTAGCACAATAGTTGGCAAAGCCCACGACTCCGCTGAAGAGGAGAGTGACCGGATCATAGCGGCGTGCCGGGACTGGACGTTGATGACGCAGCTCTGTCGCTACGCTTATCGGCAAAACTGAGTACAGAAGTCTAAAACAGAAACATAGCGGGACTCACTTTTTTTTTATTCCTACCTAAGCTTGCCTGCCTTGATAGCCTTGAGAGGCTATATCAGCGGAACCTTAACTAGTAGGTGAGCTCACGTGGCTCAAACCTGACGACGTTGCTAACACGAACTCTAGCAAGAACCGTGCTTCGCAGAATCTACCACCGGATCGGAAACGCGACCTACTGAGAAGATCCGGCGAGAAACTCAGTGGGCTGTGTCTGAGGGTTAATTTACTCATCGAGCCTTTCGTCGCAAGCGACGGGTTCGACGAGAACGATGACCGGAGACTCACAATACATTTATTTAGAGATATTGATTTTTTTCTATATCTTGTTTTCTGGTGGTAGGGGGTCTTATGGACTCGCACGGGCAGGTACCACTTCACTGTAAAAATAACCACTCTGCTTATTTCTACCGTGAAGCAGTACCGCGTCTGAAGTTTGAAGGCGTCGTGGCCTAAATGATAAGACGTCCGGTGCCTTCGTGTTGAGCGATGCACCGGTGTTCGAATCCTGCAGGTGGGTTACCAATTTTTCTTATGAAATACGTACACGACAAACGTTCACGATTGACTTCCACGGTGAAGGAATAACATCGTGTAATAAAAATAAAAACCCGGAAAATTATAATTTGCGTAATTACTGGTGGTAGGACCTCTTGTGAGCCCGCGCGGGTAAGTACCACCACCTCGCCTATTTCTGTCGTGAAGCAGTAATGCGTTTCGGTTTGAAGGATAGGGCAGCCCTTGTAACTATACTGAGACCTTAGAACTTATATCTCAAGGTGGGTGGCTCATTTACGTTGTAGATGTCTATGTGCTCCAGTAACCACTTAACACCAGGCGGGCTGTGAGCTCGTCCACCCTCTAAGCAACAAAAAAAAAACGCGTTTTAGTATGAAGAATTGGGCAGCCGTTGTACTGTAAAAACTGAGAATTACAACTCATATCTTAAGGTGGCTGGCGGCATTGACGTTGTTTATATATATGGGCTCCACTAACCATTTAACACCAGGTAAACCGCAATTCATTTATTCACCTAAGCAACAACAATAAAAAGGAATAGGCCAGTGAATTCAATTTCAGATTTTGATTTTAGCTAGACCGTATTGATAGTGGCCTAGAAAAAGATTATTAGGGTTAAAACGAGAGAACGAGAATATTGCAATGATTATGTTTAAATTCTTAAATACCTATCCGTTTTCTGCTTCTCCGAGTCCAGTTCCCTGAAGGTCTGCTGGAGTTTGTCGGTCAGCACTTCCAAGTTCTGCGTTAGTTTGTAGTCAGCTTCGAACTGTTCCGACATGAGTACGAGATCTCGGGTCGCGTCATGAAGAGGAATGTCCGAAATGCAGAGTCCACGACTAACGCAAATGGTGCATTTGTTAAAAGACTTAAAATATTTAAATTGAACAACGAGCATTTCCATTTCAATTCGTATTAATTAGTCTGGAATCTTCTGTGAAATGATACTAGATACTTATAGACCTTTGTATTATTTGTACTGGTGGTAGGACCTTTTGTGAGTCCGCACGGGTAGGTACCACAACCCCGCCTATTTCTGCATTGAAGCAGTAATGCGTTTCGGTTTGAAGGGCGGGGTAGCCGTTGTAACTATACTGAGACCTTAGAACTTATATCTCAAGATGGGTGGCGCATTTACGTTGTAGATGTCTATGGGCTCCAGTAACCACTTAACACCAGGTGGGCTGTGAGCTCGTCCACCCATTTAAGCAACAACAAAAAAATGTACATACTTCGAATCCTATAAATAAATAATTGTATGCTGTTTAAAAACTAAAAATACACTCTTTAACAATAACTAATATTAAATTTAAATTATTTTTAATACTGGTTTTCCAAGTCGAGACTTATTAGGCTAAAGTTGGTTAGATTATTGTATAATTATCGGTATATATTAATACGAAACTTTGTATTCCTTTTTACGAAAATTGCACGGACGGAGGAGTATGAAATTTCCCACACTTATAGAGAATATAGAGAAGGAGTGCAGAATGTTTATATTTTTTTAAATTATGGACAAAAATGCATTACACACTACCATATATTTGACATACACACGCATGCATACCATATACTATTTGTTTATTGTCAAACTTTTCTTATTGCTTTTTTTTTTTTTTTTGGTCTGGAGGAAATCGCCGGACTTCCGCCCTCCCCTGGGGATGGAAGGCGGGGCATGTCGGAGTCGAACTGACTAAAACCTCCTGTCGCTCAACAACCCGCGTCCGAAGCTCGCATGAGACAGAACCCATGAAAAGGCAAAGGGGGGAAAGTGAAGCGTTTAGTGCGGAGCACATCTCTCCCATCACCCTCCCCCTAGTAGAGTACCATACGCGCTATTTCATGATTATTATTCAAAAATTGGTAAAACTTTAGACGTGTTCTATTTATCTTATAGTAAAATTGAAAATAGATTAAATTTTGTTTGTCTTTATTAATATTTGTCTAAGGTGTAGTCTTGGCGAAATCTGTGATTATAGAAGTAATAGTCTTTGACAATAGAATCATAATAAATAGTGTACAAACTTATTTCAATTAATTATAGTCGAATTTCTTCTACCGTCAGATGAAGTAGTTTCGATAAATACATACAGGTCAAACTAATGAGAATATTAAAAAACTTGATCTGTAATTCTAAT